GACCATTCGATCTGATGGTTCACATTAGGCGACTGCTGACCTTAATAGTATTTAGTACCTAGCCAAGAATACTTGGGATCGTTCGATATTTGTGCAAGTTAAGAAACTTCAAGGTTCTCCGCATCATTAAGGAAGACTATCAAAGCGTAATTCAACGTATTTGCCACGCTTATTGGGGTAATCTCACAACCACCCACAACCGGCAACCCCTCTCCGCAGCATCTGTTCAGACTACCAGGATCGACTGGATATGACGTCCCTGTGAACGAATGATCTTGTCTACAGCGAATCGCGTCGGATGTCTCAATGAATGATTATTTGCCGCGCCATTGTCTAATATATAAAATGAAGTCATGCCATGTCACGAGATGGGGATGTCTTTCCTATAAGATACGCAACAGGTCTCTCGCAATTGTCATGCAATGAACCATCTGTGAAAAACACTGAAATTTGCCATACCATACCAAAGCACAAACAAAGCACAAACAAAGCACAAACAAAGCACAAACAAAGCACAAAACCCGTTAACAATTGACCAACCATGTCTGCCGACGGTCACGGACTTCCCGACAACGCAATCAAGGGGGCGCATGACATGATTCATCATGCTGAACAGGAGGAACATGAACATGAAGCCGCGCTCAAACGTGGTTTGTCTTACGAGGCCGCCGAAGCCGAATATGATCTGATACACGGGGCCGAGGAGCAGCTACCGGTGCGTTCTCGCTGCGCTTCTGTTAAATAGGCACTAACACTCCAAAAGAAAGAAGAGGAGAGCAGTAAGAAGGGCAAAGTGTTGAAGAAGTTAGAAAAATTTATCCCAGGAAAACATTGAGGGTTACGATAGGATTCCTCGCGGCATTGAAGTACCGTAATATAAGTTGCTTGTTGGAAGGGTTTAGCGGATCGGTGTTTATTTGGCCAAGGCTGTATTTTCATGTTTTTCGAAGCTCCTAGCTTTACTGTATAATAGCTGCTGATATTGTGATTCAAATCATCGTATGATGTACTATTACCTTTCTGTATTGAAGGTCATGTTCCAAATAATACTCTAAATATGCCGGCACACCAAGCCATGTTGAGATAGGGCTGTAGGGCTGAGGCCCACTACAAGAGCGGCCCTGCGTGTGGTCACCTGTATACAAAAGGAGGCTCTGCCTCTCTGAGCTTCACCTCGCACTCCATATACTAAAAGTGCTACGCTCCTCATAACTTCGTCCCATATTGATAAGCCGAATACCTACAATCTTCGATAATTACCACAACAGAAAATTCCTTATTAATAATCAACGGGCCATGTGAGAGACTAAATAGTTAAAAATAACTAATCAGAAGTATATACTGATGGAATTAATGCTATACAGTTTTTTATGGGGTTAACTTATTATACACCAGGGAATACGGATTGTGACAGAGGAAGGCTTTCAGTACTTACGCGAAAGTGACCCGCAAGAGCGGCCCGGAACCATTTTGATCGCGGGCATAGGATGGCTCTATGAACCTTCCAAGACCTTTGTCCGCATTTGACGACAGCGTCCGAGAACTCGCCGGTTTCCAGAAGGCTGAAGAGATAGTTAAGATGTAAGCAAAGCTCGGCATAAATGCGTTGATGATAACTTACCTCTGGTCTTCGTCTTTAGCGGGAAACATGATCAGGAGCAGATGTGTAGCAAGAATAAAATCAACCAAGCGGGGATGGGAATAGCAAACAGCCACGATTGCTTTCTTTCTGCTGATAGGGAGGAAAATAAGTGGAAGGTCTGAAGGTGAACCGAAAACTTGGGAAATTTCGAGAAAAACAATGGTCTTCGGAGGCGGTCAGTGTGGTAGTGAATGTAAGACGTTCGAGTGAATGAAGCAAAAATAAGTCAGGTGTATTTCCTAATGCCATAATCACTGGGTAACCTAATTTAAGGCTATAATGACAAACAGGGTTGGGGTGCCACTGAGGAGCACTACGACTCGAATCTAGTCAGTATATTTAGTCTAGGTTTCTGTAATATATTTGAACTAGTGCAGCCTGATCCAGGGTCATACTCTCGAGATCCCAACCCTTCAAGCCTTACAAAGGTACGGGTGTACATATGGGGACGCGGTGGTCGATTGCGTAACTATATGCCATGACTGATAGATATATCAACTCAACCGGTCAGGTTTTATAATTTACCGCTAAGCAGACGGAAGTTGAACTCGGTTCCGCATATTCACAAAATATACCTTGAAGGACTACGCAGGCCATCACCTATTATAGGCAATGAGGGCGCGTTAGCCACGGGATTATCAAGTGATTAGAAGGTAAAATCTGCCTGCAAGTAATGACCAAATTATCCAACTATTAAACACCTATGGAGTGCTTGCTACTGTCAACACATGCTTGCCTCTGGGCGTGTGTCAAACAATGAAAACTGCTACAATCAAAAGGGAAAGGGGTTTGCAGGAATTTACTGATTCAGCATTTCAACAAACACAAGGAAAAACTTGAAGATACGTACTGGGAGTTTGAGGCTAGACGTAAAGAATCCCTTACCCGGGTCCTATTATCATTGACCCAGATAACCCCTTGGTAGTATCCTCAGTACGGCCCGTCAGGTCAATGTAGGGCCACTGTCATTAAGCTGGAATGATTCAAATGAGGAGACTCGGATTAAAGAACTACAGGAGTCGACATAGTAGCTTGAAACACTTCGCATTGAAATTGTTATCTGTGAACACGAGAAGGAGGAAAGGGAAGCTATGACTGTGATGCTACGAAAATGGAGAGAAAATAATTCATAATTAAAGATATAGTGGTTATATTCAAAGCTTTGCGAGGAATTGGAGTGAGGTTTCTGAGGTAACCCTGTTTTATATGTTAGGAACTGGAATCCATCTCCAAAGTGCTGACATGCGTATTAAGACAAACCGCTGAACCCGGCTGCCCGGCTGACCCGATGCTATTCAATTATTGGGTGATGGTGTCAGGAACATGGTCACGCTGCGAACCCTGGTTGCTACGCCATAATCGATTGCGTCTCTTTTCTGACATAACGAGCTGGAAAAATTCTGCTATGACTTAACTCTTTGTATTTGAACAAGGTCAACTTGGAGATCAACATAGGAGGATCAACGCATTAGTTTTCCGTTCCCCTGACCCTAGGTCACAGCGAGAAGCGTACAACAACGCTTCAATAAATGTGTGAAAATGGACAGCAGTGCTACAAGGCGCATGGCTATCTACTCCAATGTCACAGTCGGGGTTCTCATGCTTGTCTACGCAGCTATCGTAGATGCAATTGCCATTCCGCCTCCTACGGGCCCATATAATGTGGGCGTTAGCAAGCACACAATTGAGCATTACAATTCACATGATCCCCTGGCACCGAACAATATTAGCACAGCATTTCTGGCCACTATTTTCTATCCCACACGCCAGAAACCAGAATCTGCACCTCAGCCGTATCTGAGTCCAGAAACAGCAGCATACTGCGAAGCTGCGTGGAACTACACCCCAGGAGTCCTTGAATCGCTCACCTCGTCTATCCAGAAAGAAGCGCCCTTCCTAGAGATAGAATCGCCATATCCAACTATTCTGTTCGGACCGGGCGCTGGAGGTCCTCCGGTTGAAGGTGATACTATCCTGCTTTCTGAGTTGGCATCATACGGCTATACCGTGATTGGGCTAGACCACCCATTCGAGCAACCTTTCGTTCGATTTCCAAATGGTACAGGCGTTGACGGCGTGTATATCGACTATAGTTCGCTTGAGCTGATTGCCGCTATCTATGAGACCCGGCTGGTGGATAACGCCGCATTCCTGGACTATTTGCCCGAGCTAGTCCGGAAGCTCAAGGCGCCAATCGACACGACGCGCATTGGCGCTTTTGGCTACTCGCTCGGTGGTGCGGCAGCAGTTGGTTCCATGTACAGTGATGATCGCATTGCTTCAGGGATAAATCTCGACGGCGAGTTCTTCGGCATCGCCGCATTAAACAGTTCAAAGGCAGATGTTAAGAAACCCGTGTTCCTTTTGGGCAATGAAAATCACACGAGTGAGAATGAGGCGTATGATGTCACATGGGGAACGTTTCCACCGTGGCAGACGGGGTATTTTAGAAGGATGCTGGTCACTGGTACGACACATCATGATTTCTGCGACGGTACCTTCTGGAAGACGATTGACGGTTCGGATCCGTCGACGGGACCGATTGATGGCAATCGGCAGGTCAAGATCTTGAATGCTTATGTCAAGGCCTTCTTCGACCTAACCTTGCTAGGTCAGAATTCTCCGATATTGGATAAGCCATCTGAAAGTTGGCCTGAGGTGGTTTGTTATGATGGATGTAAGACTACGTAATTGAGTATATTCAATTTGAAGATTTACCGCTGTATGAAGCGATCGGGGCGCCTTGATTTATCTATGTTCTATACATGTTATACTACAAGACACACCAAAGCAAACCTTACACCTTGTTACCCCTGACTAGGCAGTAGACTTTCATGTTTACCTACCTATAAGGCCGACAACAGAGAAACATACCTAGCAATAAGTTACCGTCGATGTTATTATGCGCCTGAGCTAAGAATATACTGTTTCACATTTATGCCTGAGTATAGTTGACGGTATTCTCGGAGTCATAGGGAACGTAGTAGCTTGTAGGATCATAAATACTGCTACTGAGGTCCGAGACTGCGAGCATAATAGAAGGGGCGCTCATTAGCGAGAACGCTGTCTACGCTGGGAGGAGAACAATGAACCTCGTCATCATGCAAGATAGTTTGCGAGTGATGCGTGTCGCCACTGATCTGGAAGGTCGCTAGTCTTGGAAGTATACATAACTCCGTCGTGTTTCTGTCGACTCAGTACGAACTTCTGATCAGCAGTTATCGGTGTAGCAAGTCTCCTACGTGTGAGCGAAAACCCGAGCTTTAACCGAGACACCAATAATATATGCACCATTAAGTCCCAACGGGACAGGAAAAACATTGTCACGCCTGGGTAAAGTCGTGAGAACGTAAACCCTGCCCTTATAGCTCAGTGGTAGAGCGCGTCACTCGTATATATACAACTTTCTTCTACGAAATGACGAGGTCCATCGTTCAATCCGGTGTGGGGGCACAACATCTTGTTTTGCGAGTATCGCAGGCCTGGCATATATTTTTCCCTTCACTTGTTCCATTTCAGCATGATCAATTCACCACACCATCTACGTACTGATGCAACTGGTCCTTGCAACTCGTCTTATTAATATGCCCACGCCTGTATCATTTCCCTGCAGCGCTAAATCCATGCAGTATATTGCAGAATTGTAAAATAACTTTTGTATGAGACGCCCTGTTATACTTCTGTACTTATACCATTGAGGCTCAAACTAAGTCATTGAGCGACAGGTTTAATATGGAGTGTTTTCTGTTGACAATTTCAGGCAAGTGATGAGGAGTACCGCTATTTGGAGATCGATGTTTGCAACTGCGAGCACCTGAGCCCACCTGCCAGCAACCCGTCGTATTGCCTATACTGCTAAAAGGGGGAAGAAAAAAAAAAAGCTCGATTACATGCGCAGGTAAAATAGATACGTCTTGCGAGGGCTAATAGACGCCAACCTCATTTAGGCTAATAGAGTTGTCAAGGTTGAAGATGATTGAAACTTCGGAGTCATACAATATACCGACTTCTAGGCCCTGATCGACAAATCGGCAGGCTGGCTTTATAGGGATTAGAAAGTGACTTTAGTTTATATAAAAATCTCGGCAAATTCCGTTATATCTTTTTAAAACCCCTATAGCTATATCTTATTTCCTTTAATTAGTTAAATAGTTAATTAAATCTATTTATTTTATTATATTATAAGTTCGAATATTTCGTAATATTTATAAAGTAACGTTAATAATGTAATTTTATAACCTTTTAAGCCGAAATAATATAAAAAAAATTTAAAAAAAAATAAATAATATTTAAAATAATAGTCCTAAATAAATAAGGTTTAAATTCGATAGTTTTTATTTTAATTTAATTATAATTAGGGTAATTAACGGTAAAAATATTATTTTTATTAATTAAATTATTTTAGACCTTTTTAAAAAAGATCCGGGGGATTTATAACCTTTTATAAATAATTAAAGAACCTTTATAAATGCCGATATTAGTTAATTTTAATATAAATCGATATATATTATTATTATTATTAAATTTTTATATAATTCGGCGATCCCTATCGGTTTTTAATTTAATAGATTTAAAGCTATTCCGAAAGCTTTTAAAAGTACTTTATTATTAGTATTAAAATAAATTAAAGTAATAATTTTATTATTTATATAGTATTTATTAAACTATTATAATAATAAAAAATTAAATATATAATATAAATCCGCATTAATATCGGTTTAATACGGTATATTTAATAATATAACGAAAAAGTTTTTTAATAAACCCTTTATTTAGAAAAAAATCCTATTAAAATGGTAAATTAAAAAACGAAAATATTATTAATAAAAAGCGATAATAAATATATCCGGAATTTTATTAGATTAAAATATTAATTTTATTATAATATTTCCGGTAGTTTAAAAGGACTTTTTATTTAAATAATTTAAAACCGGTTAGTTAAAAACGATTTTTTTAAATAATAATATCGAAATTTATAAGGAAGTTTTTTTTAAAAAAACGGCAATTAGAAATTTAATACGGAATACCGGTAATAAAGATAATATTCCCGATAGTTTTAAAAATAACAATAATATTAATAAATTTGGAATTTCGAAAATTAATAATTATTAAATTAATAAAAAAAGGGCTTATAAATTTAATTTATTAAACGGGAATAACGGTAATAAGGTTATTTTTATAAGGTTAAAAAAAGTAAAAATAAAACTATTATAAGATCCTATTACGGTAATTATCGATATAGTTTTTATAAAATTATTATATTTTATTAATAATAATAACGTTAAAAAAACTATTTAAATATTTAAAAAAAAATTGGTAAAAATATATATAATAAAAAGATAATTAAAATTATTAAAATATTAACGGACTTTTTTAAAACGGTAGTATTTTTTAATTTAAATAAAAATTACCGTAAAAAATATTTAAAAATTTAATATAATAAAAGGGTATTTAAATAATAATAAAATTAATATAACGGTAATAAGGTTTAGGTTATAATAATTTTAAAAAATTAATAATATTATAATAGTTATTTTTTATATTAAAATTATATAGGTAAATATATTTATATAATATTTAAAAAATCTATTAAAAAATTAAAATTAAAATATAATAAAGCGGTAAAAAGATATTATAGGTATTATAATACTATTTTTTATATTAAATTTATATATAAAATATATTTTATATATATTCGAACGGTTTATCGGTAATTTTATAGTATTTAAAAAAAATAAAGGTAGTAATAATAAATTTCGTAATAGTTAAATTAAAAAAAAATAGTTAAAAATTTAATTATAGTAATAAAATTTAACGATAGCTAAAAAAATCGATTATAGTAGTAAAAATTAAAGGCATACGCGTTTTTTATAATATATTAAATTTAACTATAATTAAAATTTTTAAGATAGTATTAAATTTAATATACTATAAAAAATATATATAATTGATTTTTATTATTATAATTGATTTTTTAGCTGCCGTTAAATTTAATAATAGTTAAATTTAATATTATATAGATTTAACGGTAGCTATTAATTTTAACTATAATTAAATTTAATATTATAAAAAACGCGTACGGTTAATTTTTATTACTATAATCGAATTTTTAACTGCCGTTAAATTTAATATAATTACCATTTAATTAGCTAATAATAATAATAATAATTATATATTTTTTACTTTTTAATAATATTTTAAACCTTATTTTAATTATTTTTATTTAAAAATATCCTATTTAAAGACGTCTTTTTAGTTAAATAATTTTAATATAACCTTTATATTTTTTTAAATATTTATTAACGAATATATATAGGTACTTTTTTTTTAATACGTTAATGTGACGGCACTTATATACGGCACGGCTAAGTAATAGGTATATTATAATAAAATAATAAAGATAAGGAAAAGAAGAAGGTTTAGGTATATGTAGCTATATATATGTAATAAAACCTTTATTTACTCCTTATCTTATTTAATTACTATTTATACGTAATACGTGGTTATAGCAATAAATAAGGTACGCTAAAACTACTGCCGTAATATTACCCCCTTAAATCCACTTAATAATAGTTAACGTGGTATTAAGGGATTTATTTAAATCGTTAAAATCCGTTAAAAAAACCACTTATTATAAAACGTACGCGCTTTAAAAGCTCGGACCACCCAGGTATTATGTAACCATAATAACTATTATTTAATAATAATATAACTATTACTACTACCCCCTTAATTCCTTTTAACGTACGGTTATTAGGTCTTAGCCTTATTAATGTCTTTATTATTAGTAAAAAGCTTTTTAAAGTTCGATTCTGGTAGTAATAAGGGGCATTTCGCAACTTTATAAGTTCCGTTTTTATAATGTAGGCATTAGTTTTATTTCTAACGGTTTATAATATCGGTTCGGCTAGCTAGGGGTACTTCCTAATTTTTTAAAGTTTAAAGTAATATAATTTTAGGTATATATTTATTAATATTTTCGTTATTAAATATATTATTAAACTATATGGGTTTAATAATGCCGATTAATGTATTTATTATATTTAGGTTTAAATTAGCCGGCTTATTAAAGTGGAACCTTAATAGTTAATAAAATAAGAATATAAAATTGTTATATTTTTTTAATAGTGATTTATAATCGTTAAGTTTTTTTTTTAATATATTATTAATAGCGTAATATAAATTTTAAATGCGGATTTTATTAAGTAGGTTTACTACGTCGGCTTTTTATAAAAGTTTTTCCTAATTAGCTAAAAATATATAAATGGAGTTGTTTTTATTCTGGTAAAGGTTATATAATTTCTTAGTTAATTAATAAAATCGGTTAGGATTATTATATAATCGATTTAAAATAATTATAATAGCTTTATAATTTTACGATTTTTCCTTTTATTAGGTATATAGTATAAAAATAATAATATGTTATACTTTAGGTTTTAAACGTACGTATATGTAGTGAAATTTAGCTTAATTAGTGCCGATAGCCTTATTATTAACCTCTATTTTGCCTTTTAATTATAAGGCCTATATATTAAAGTTTAATAAGCCAGCTAAAATGGGAATATTTAGAAATAAAGGTTAAAAATGTGGCTTATTAGCTAATAATGCATGATAAATGGTTTTAATAACGTCGATTTTAGCTTAAAAAGCGTTAGCGTATGCTTAAAAAACTGATTTTTCCTTTTAAAGCTGCTAAACCTAACTAGCTAGCTATTAATTTTAGTTATTTAATAGTTAAATATGGTTAGTAAATTTAATATATAAGGCTTAAATGGCACCGTTAACCTTATTAGCATTAATAAAGGCTATAGTAATAAATAAAATAATTAAAAAATAATCTGCTACTTTAAAAAGCTAACGCAGATTTAAAATAAAGAGGTAAAAAATTTTAGTTGCTGCTTTAAAAGGCTAACGCCCGCTAAAAAATTATTTAAAGTAATAAATCGCTGCCTTATAAAGCTAACGTAAATAAAATAAAAAGTGCTTAATGTATATAAAATAATCTAACGTTTTATGTGCCCTTTAAAGCTAGGCTGCTGGGACGTATATTAGTAGATGTATTAAGTGCTGGTTAAAAAAGGATGGTATTTATAAGGATATTATCGGTAGGCTATACGTACGTTTAAAGGCTTATTATATGTGTTTAGGTAATAAATCCGATGGAAATAAGGGTATTACCACTGCTTTAAAAGGCTAACGCAGTAGTAAAAATGAATAACTACTACCTTATAAAACTAACGCAATTAATATAATGCCCTAAAAATAACTAGCTAATTAGCTATAAGGGATCTTTATTATTATATAACGGTACTTATATACGGTATAGCTAAATAATAAATGTATTATAATAAAATAATAAAAATAAAGAAAAAAAGGAGGTTTAGGTATATATAGCTATACGTATATAATAAAACCTCTACCTATTCCTTATTTTATTTAATTGCTATCTACAC